TAATTCATCGTGACTTATAGTTATTTTATGAAAAATTTATTCACGTAAAATATCAATATATTTTTGACTGAGGGCATGGGAGACTACACTGAAAAAAATTTTAGTGTAAAAATTACACCTTCAAATTAAATTCAAATAAAATAAGGATAAAAAAAAATTTTATTTCTTTTTTCCTTTTTTTTTTATTTGTTTAAAGTTGCATAAACTGCTAAGGTCATGAGCGACTACGGTAGGAATCGTTTTATTTTTTTTTTTTTTGGGCTTTGCAGAATAATACACTTAAATATTGAAAATATTCATTCACTCGAACCCGGTCCAATGCTTTGATAAGCATTTAATTTAAATTTTGTTCCTGGGACGAAAAAATTTTTTTTTCAAAAATTGAATTTTTTTCAAATTTAAAAAAAAATTTTTTTTTTCTTCAATGTGAACAGAATTGAAACAAGAAAAAATTTTTTGCTCTGTCTTTATTTTATTTCATTCACTTTTAATTCTTATTTATGTATTTATATGATTATGAATTTAGCTCAACAACTTATCCAGATATAACAGAACAAGTTATGTTAAATAACACGCAATGATACAAAAAATGGATCACACTGAGTTAAAAGCACACGGATTAAAATTTTACACTGTCATTTCATAACGTGGAGTGTTCTCCGGGTCCATCTTTACACCAAAACTTTTGACAGTGCATTATTTCATCAAACATATGCGGGTCGTAAAAGAATTAGACTTATTCTACTGACAAATATTGCAATCAAAGGGGAAATGTCCGACGTTTAAATTTTATAGCTGTAAGAGAGTGAAAGAACTTTAGTTTTTCGAATAAAAAGTTTATAAATTTGATGATCTATGAGAATTTTACTTATCGATTTAAGATTTAATGTTACACTTATAGAAAATAAATATCATCGGCTTTGTAAAATATTCACTCTAAAGACATAAACAGTCAGAAACGCGAACAAGCTTACTATACCGCAGGCTCTTGATGTAGAGACACTTCTGGAAAGTGGCTGTCCTTGCCAGCACCTAGTGTGATTTACAGATCCAGAGGTATGAAGTCTAAGCATAGTAATATCTCTCTTTCTTCTACTCTTGGGGTTACACCCTCGGGACCACCTTGAGTGAAATACGTAGGCTCTACACACAAAACTCTACATCCACTTTACCTTATTTTTTTACATCTTTTTCGATTCTAATGCTAAGTCTAAATTAATATTCGGCGAAAAAAGGATTACATTTAAAATTCATGATAAAATAAACAAATATTTCTATTTTTTTTCTTTGCACTTTATATAGAAACTTGATCTACCACTAAAATATTTTGTTAAGAGAAAACATTTTGAAAATTTTTTATAAATTTTAAATAAAAATTACAATTTAAGAAAATTATCAAGTTTTTTAAATAAAAATTGAATTATTCCATTTTTCTTATCGTGTCTTCAAATTATGAGGGATATTATAAAATTTCTAAAGACTATTTTTATATAGAATTAAATTATCAACAAAAAATATTTTTTCTAACTTTTTCTTATTTTCAATACTTCACTCATAATTTCAAATCGAAATTCTTATAAAAGAATTTATAAATTATTAATGATTTGATTCATTTGAATTCATCAACAGTCAACATATATTTATTAACAGTAAACAAATAATGTATTAACTTTTAATAAATAATTATTAAGGAGGTTCCACGGCAAGAAAAAGACACCGATAGGTTATGGCTATTGGTTTCTTTCTTACGCACTAGTGCTGCCTTTCTTTACAGACTATCGCTCACTTACTTCCACGCACGTAAAATATCGAAAGTCGCTAACTTCAAACATTTTTTATAAAAAAATGAATACTACTCGTTTATGTTATTTTTGATAAAAAATACTTGTTATAACTTCAATTAAATATTCTCAATTTTTTAAAAAAATCCTAAGCAAAGTATAGTTATTATTTAATTTAATAAAATGTTCATTTAAACTACGGTCAGGATAGGGAATACATGTTAGATGTACGATTTTTAATTACTAATATTTAGAAAAGTAGCACCGCAAGGACTATTAAAAAAATTTATTCGTACAGAGGACACTTAAAAGTACGCGTATTCAAAAATGAAAGAATATTACAAGAAAAGTGATTTTTCACGGAACCTCCTTAAATCACACTAAAAAAAAAGTTTTTTCCTCCTAGAAAACTTTTCCCTGTGGTTAAAAAAAAAGTATTCCTAAAATAAGAATACCAAAGTTTACTATCCATAGGAATAAGTTTACTGGATATAAAAAAACTTGGTATTCTCATTATTAAAATACTACAATCAATATGGCCGACTTAACCTCGCTTGATCGACACGAATCTTTAGGATAGATAATTATGAGAAACTATACTTTTTATAATTCTTCATTTATAAACAATTTATCACACTAAAATTAATAAAAATGGAAAATAGTATATTAAGCCTTTCTTTTCTTATTTTTAATTCTCATTGTTGTCAAAAAATTGCAATTTCTTGCCAATAGCATTATTTTACTAATTTACTAATAACATTACTAAGGTAAAAGACCTAGTTATTGACTCTTGCAATTTTATTTTAATTAAAAACTCTGATAATTTAATAAACATTATATTTGAATTATAAATTTTAAGATAATTGGTTTTTTGAGAACATTCTATTTTTTTTAATTAGAATAAAATTGCAAGTGTCAAACGACTAGGCCAGTGAAAATAACTGGGTTTTCTACCTTATTATAAAAATTGATTTATAAAATGATAAATTGATTTGCTAAAATGAGTTATAAATTTGTTGGAGATGATAAATTTCATTCTGACAACTTCTTTTGCATCCAAGAATCCATATAAGTAAGGGAGTAAGGGAAAGTAATATTAATGATTAATACTTTTATTTATAATTTATAAATTATTTAATTTACACAAATAAATATTTAGGTAACTAGACTCAGGCACGAAGTAAACTAATAACTAAAAAACACGCGTACACTGTAGATTGGAGGGAAATGACAAAATAGTGGCGCCCCGTCACGGTTGCTATGGTAACATAGAATTTAGTTTTAGTCCTGTTAAAAAACTTGGTATTCTCAGATTTAAAATACCAGTTTTCTTAAATCTAAAATATTTAACTTGACTTTTACTTCGTACAAGAAAACTCGACTAAAAAATATTCAGTATTCCGGATATAAAAAAATTTTTTTTTCAGTGCACTCGAAGTTAACAAACTATTTATTAAAATTTAAAAAATCTTATGAAATATCAACAAATTATTCTGTTAGTGGAATAATAAAAAACTATTTTGACAAAAAAATTAAAAAAGAGAGACTATCTTCCTGCATTATCGACAGTCAATATCAAATTATACTTGTGTAATTCTTTGTTCTGTCGTGGCGCTACTCGAGGGTACAAATGACGAACAGTTCCAGAAAGAAAAAAATAAAGTATTTAATTATAAATGTGATAAAAAAAGACCGAAACATTTTGATGATGAATATAACTTAATAGAACTTGTTTGTGGTTCAAACTCCTTCCAAGTAACAAAGTTCGTATCCTAACTTAATAATTCTAAATAACACTCTTAGATAAGTACGATCGAAGTTTGCATTGACGAAAGTAACATGATTTAAGTATCTGCAAGCATGATTGACCGAAGAAGGACATTAAATTCAAAGATATTCTCTAAACTGCAGGAACATCGGAATTTGCATTTATAATGAAGAACTTTGTCTGTAAGACTAAATGACTATCAGTTTAGCGAAGACAATGAAAGTCAAGAATGACCACCAACGACTCTCGGGTCACAACCAAGTTTATTTCAGGCCATCATTAGACACATTTACGTTGGTAATTCTCGAGAAGTGAATTATTCAGTTTGGGGATCGAAAACTTTACAGGAAACTTCTCAACCAATGGACAAGTTGAATTCATACACATGGATGTACAATGTCCACACACATTGAAGTTTTTAAATAGAATGGACCAGGTTTAATTTAACAAAGTTTCCACTTTCATCACTATACTACTTTTTTAGTTTTACAACACAAGCATCTCACATCGAACGAAATTTATTTTGATAATTTTATTTTCATTTAGAATATATTAAAAAATGAACCCGAGGGTTTTACTTTCGGATGAAAGTGAAAGTTAGTTGAGAAAAAGCAACGACACAGCTGTCCAATTGTCAAAAGCAATCACGGGTTGACTACCGTCGCGTTTTTCATCCCATGATCCAAAGACTCCCTAACCCGGTCGCTTTATTGGCACTTTGTGCCGACGCTGACCAAGTTTGTATCGACCTGAGTGTCATTACGTCGGATTATTGGCAATTCTTTTCTGTTAAATATAAATCAGATCCTTTGAAATAAAACATATAAAAAAGACGAAATGTTTATCTTCCATTAATTTATCACAAATTCAAAGGTTAAAAATTATCAAAAACGAATGACAATGTTGATTAAATCATTCATGTATTATCAGAAAAACAACGAAAGTTCAATTGCAAAAAGTATAAATACGACTGGGTTTTATATACAAATATTGACACTTATCTGTCGATAAATGACATCAATCACGTGGATTGAGAATTTTTAAAATCATTCTCATTTTATCGTGGATTAAAAAGTGATAACACTGAATATGAAGATTGAAGAGACAATGGGTATCAAAGTAAATTTTACTTTTTATAATTCGGAGATTGGAATCAATCAATCTCGAGATTAATTAGTTCATTACTACTTTTAAAAATTTTGAAGATATCTAATCGGTTTTTTTATCTTGAGATCTCTATCTGTAATGATTCTGTATGCTTAAATCTTTTCACTGTATATAAATGAAAGCAAGTACTGATTCCCACAGTTTTCCAGATTTTTTTTATTGATACGCACTACAATGATACTGGTTCTATTTCTTTTGAGTGTTGGAAATCTTGCTTATGGTAATGTACAAAATGATTTTCAAAAAATTTTTAAGTTTTTCACACTAAATTTATTCCAGCTGAGACTCTGCCACAAAATTTTCATGCACGGATTATCAACGGAAGTGATGTTCAAGCAGGTGAAATTCCTTATCAAGTGAGTGTTTTTATGTAATTTATAAATATATTAGAGTTTATATATAGGACATTTGCTGTACATACTTTTATTGCTCTCAAATTTTATCAGATATTAAATAAGTTTTTGTGAAATTTTTTGCTAAATTATTGACTGCCATTATTGCAACTTTTTAGTTTCACGGTTTCCTGGAGTTTTTGGCATAAAAAATCGAAAAATTATCGTTTTAAAACTTTCATTTTTTTTTTTCAAATTATTTCATTTCACTGCTCATTTAGAATACTTAGAATGTATATTTGTTGATATAAATTATTGAATAAACAAAATTTTTATGCCGGCTGAAAATTTCTGATAAAACTTATTTAGATAAATATAGCGACTTTTAGTATATTATATGTAAAAATAAATAATTCAGAAAAAAAAAACCTTAAAAATGTAAATTTTTTATCTTTTTTTGTTAAAAAAAAAAATTAAAATTTTGATTTTTAGATTATCTTATTTTTGAAAACTTTAAAATAAGTCAGTGATTGTTAAAAAAAAAAGTTGGAATATTATTTTTATGGATTGTAGTATTGTCGACCGCGAAACTCAATAATTACTGTAATTAATTACAGTAATAATTATTATTGATAACAAAATAATTATCTGATTTTGATAAGCTCCCGAAACTCTGAATAATAGAAATTTCAGTCTGATTAAAAAAAATTATTATTACTGTTTTTTGAAAGAATTTTTTTCAATTACATAAATTAGTTGTATAAGCTTAACTTTGTGAACAATTATTTTCAATTTAATTAATTTGTGATAAACTGCATCCGAAAAATGTACCAATCAATAGAATGAAAGTAACATCTCATTCCATTGAATGTTTTATAGGTATCGCTTCAATACACTTTGATTGTTAATTTTCACTTTTGTGGTGGATCAGTATTAAATGAAAAATATGTGATTACTGCTGCTCACTGTGTTCAAGGGTACCTAAAAATTTAATATAAATTCAAGAAGCTAATTAATCTACAGAACTAATTTTTTTTTAACATTATTAAACTATTATCAAATTTAAATTACAGCAAAACTGCAGAACAAATAAAAGTCGTTGCAGCTACCACAAATTTAAAAAAACCAAACTCAACCCATTTTGTTGCTGAAATTACCGTCCATGAAAAATACAATCCTTCAGATTCGTGGAAAAATGATATTGCGTTAGTAAAAATAGAAGATCGCTTTGAAGTAAGCGCAGTTTTGAAATTTGTTCCCTTACCAACTCCAAATCAAGATATTCCAGCTGAGTCAGTCGCGGTTATATCTGGCTGGGGTACTTTACAGGTGACTAAAATAACATATAATTTTATTTTTTAATAATTATAATAAATTATCATTATTATTTATCTAATGAAATTTTTTCATTACAGGAGGGTGGAATAACGCCAGTTGTTCTTCAAAAAACTGAAGTATTTATCGCGAGTCAAAGCTATTGTAAGCAAGTGCATACCAATGCAGGAAGTAATATTCATGAAACTCATATTTGTGCTTATGATCCTGTCCATGGAACTGGTCCTTGCAATGTAAGTTAATTATTTCATATGAAAATAGATTTTCTTATTTATCTATATGACAAATCACGTTATACTTGTTAACTCCTCCAATACAGTTAACAAAACTTTGATTTTCAGGGTGATTCTGGTGGACCTTTGATGGTTGACAATAAACTTGTTGGTCTTGCATCGTGGGTTCAAGGATGTGCTTCGACGATGTATCCTACTGTTTATACCAGAGTTCCTAGTTTTCTTGACTGGATTAAAGCTAACGCTGTTTAATTTAATAGTCTCAATTTTAATGATTTTTTCATACTTATATTAATTATGGATAAATATCAAACTAAGTACAAAAATATTGCATAATTTTTTTAGACAAGGAAATGATCAATTTTTTACATTTGACGTGATATTGACATCAGAAGTCACCTGATTACGTTTTGGTTAGGGAAGAAGGGGGTCAATTGAGTTGAAAATACTGTAATAATTTTTGTTTAGTTAAATTAATTAAAGAAAAAAATAAAAACTTTTTATGTGAAAAATAATAAATTAGTATATTATGATGGTAATTAGTCAATAAAAAATTATTAATAAATAATTAAAATAAATTATTAAAAACAAATAATCATAATGATTTCAAATTTTAAGCAAATTAAGGTATTTCATTTTTTTTTTTTTTGATTTTTTAAAGCCATTGGTTCAATTGACCCTCGTCTCCACTAAATTTAAAAGATATTTTTGAAAAATTGCGCCCATACTTTTTCAAAACTATTAAAAGTGGAATTTTTAAAACTTTTTCTAAAATTTTATTCTATCAATTTATACTATGATTCCAAGATAATTTTTCAAAATCAAAACAACTTTTATTTCTACGCATCAAAAAAATAAAATCTTATTTTACTTGAATCATTAGACCTCAGACGTTACACCTCCTCTTTGACACTCTGACTAAAGTTGCTCTTGCAAGATGAAAGGCTCCTTCCGACGTTATTTTCCTCAGATTCTACAATCATCGATCATCAAAGCTGAATAAAAAGTAGCAGTAAAAGCATGTGTCCGATAAGCTTTTCATCAGCATCGCGGTTGGTGTGCTTGACGAACCATTTCATCAGGCTGTTCAAGTGACAATTGCGGAGGAGACTTTGGCGTCGCTTGTACAGCCTTTCGCATCTAATAAAGGCCTTCAGCATCGTTCTATCTTCCATTAACGTCATGAAGACTTCCCCACTTTCACTGTAGATATGCTATGCGTTTCGGTTGGTGCCACTTTCAGCCCCTTGTACTGATTTGTACGTCTTCTTTCCTTGAAGATACAAAATTTACTCAAACATACAATACAAAGGATTCTCCTTGAAAATTTCAGCAACATTATTGTCTTCTCGGCAGTGACGTTGGTACTGTACGACACATTCTAAATTAAAATCCATAAATTACACTTGGAAACACATATGATTGGAATTTACTGACAGAATATTGAAGAAGCTTTGTATTTTAAGAAAAAAAATTAAAAGTTATAATTTACTCTTGAAAACTTATAGAACCACAAAACTATTCAAAACTTAACATAATAAATTGACCATCACCATAAAATATATAAAATCATAAAAAGGCACAAATTTATGTCAATATCTTCTTAATGATACTAAATTTGACTATAAAAATCCCTTTTTAAATGAAAATTTGTCTATACAAAATTTTTCATATTTTCTGAATTAATTGGATAATAAATTAATTATCGGCAAAAAAATACCAAACCGTAAAAAGATATAAATTCAAGTTATGACTTTTCTGATGTTACATAGTTATCTATAGAAATCCATTTTATAATGACGATATACTCGTCACAAAATTTTGTTTATTCTCTTAATTATATAAATTAATATTTGACATAAAAACACATTCATATGTACGAAATAAATTTTATCTTGTGCGAAATTCGAATTTATTTAGAAATACTTCAAAAATTTTTCATAATAAATAAACCACTGCTGAAAATTATATGAAACTTTGAAACAGCACAATTTCAATTCAAAACCTTTCCAATGATACTTAATTAAACTGAATAGCTATGACTTGAGCTTACTGACAGAAATCATATTTTTTCCATTGAAATTTAAACTTTGTCCTAATCGTGTTAATTTAAAAAAAGTAAAAAAATAATAATCATACTTTAATCGTTACTTCAGAAGTCTTTAAGAGTGAAGTCTAGGGTGATCGAAGATAAAGAAGATAAAGAATAGACTTTATATTTAGAATTTTCGAGCTCCACACATCGACTGTGTCAACATTATTATACCGCAGATTCCCAGGAGAGTGCTCGTACACACGCCATTAACAAGAGCGAATAGATCAGAGAAGTGGTTTCTTTAAATATGAATCAGACTATGTTACTGCTAAGAGAAAAGTGGTTATCAAAACATCTCTCTGGAGATTAAAACCTCCACCACTCTAAAATAAAATTCTGAAGCTCTGGATTATTTTGTAATTATAATTATCATAATGTTTAAATAACAGTCGAAAGTAAAAAAGAAAACGAGAACGTCTACAATACAAACCATCTGCTATAAGATGGTCCACCCAGAAAAAGTTTGAAAAAAGCTACTGGTAAAAGCCAGAACAAAAAAGTAACTAGTAGAAGAAATTTTTGCTAACATGAAAAATATTTAACTCGAGATAGTGAAAAGCTCCGACAACTAGACGGCAGTTCTGTCTTTCGATTAAACAAAAAGCTCCACGGAAATTTTAACGCGACTAAAGTAGAAAAAGCGATGTGAAAACAAAAAACAATATGAGAAGACAGATCAAACAGCGCCTTGGGATTTATTCTTTTTTGTGAGCCAACGAAATCCAATTGGGGATAAAATAACGGAATAGTGTCAAGATTTAACAATTTATCATCAATTAAATTTCGTTTGACGAGTAATAAGTATTTAATTTAAAAGTAATAAAATTTATCGATCATGCGCACCCACCTGAGGCGGATGAACTCGATCATGTTTGCACGTATCGCTTCAATCGGAACTGATTATATAATTGATGATTGTTAATAACATTGTTTTTTAGTATATTTAATGCGTGTTAGACCACGCTACAAGTAATCAATTATATATTACCATTTTCGAACAAGATTCTCCGTATAATTTATTTATACACTGAAAAAAAAATTTTTTTATACCCGGAATACTGAATATTTTTTAGTCGAGTTTTCTTGTACGAAGTAAAAGTCAAGTTAAATATTTTAGATTTAAGAAAACTGGTATTTTAAATCTGAGAATACCAAGTTTTTTAACAGGACTAAAAATAAATTCTATGTTACCATAGCAACCGTGACGGTGGCGCCACTATTTTGTCATTTCCCTCCAATCTACAGTGTACGCGTGTTTTTTAGTTATTAGTTTACTTCGTGCCTGAGTCTAGTTACCTAAATATTTATTTGTGTAAATTAAATAATTTATAAATTATAAATAAAAGTATTAATCATTAATATTACTTCCCCTTACTCGCTTGCTTATATGGATTCTTGGATGCAAAAGAAGTTGTCAGAATGAAATTTATCATCTCCAACAAATTTATAACTCATTTTATCAATACATTCTTTCCTTATAATCAATTTTTATAATAAGGTAGAAGACCCAGTTATTTTCACTGGCCTAGTTGTTTGACACTTGCAATTTTATTCTAATTAAAAAAATAAAATGTTCTCAAAAAACCAATTATCTTAAAATTTATAATTCAAATATAATGTTTATTAAATTATCAGAGTTTTTAATTAAAATAAAATTGCAAGTGTCAATAACTAGGTCTTTTACCTTAATAATGTTATTAGTAAATTAGTAAAATAATGCTATTAGCAAGAAATTGCAATTTTTTGACAACAATAAGAATTAAAAATAAGAAAAGAAAGGCTTAATATACTATTTTCCATTTTTATTAATTTTAGTGTGATAGATTGTTTATAAATGAAGAATTATAAAAAGTATAGTTTCTCATAATTATCTATCCTAAAGATTCGTGTCGACCAAGCGAGGTTAAGTCGGCCATATTGATTGTAGTATTTTAATAATGAGAATACCAAGTTTTTTTATATCCAGTAAACTTATTCCTATGGATAGTAAACTTTGGTATTCTTATTTTAGGAATACTTTTTTTTTAACCACAGGGAAAAGTTTTCTAGGAGGAAAAAAACTTTTTTTTAAGTGTGGACTTAATTTAAACTTTAGCCAGAGTTTCTCAAAAAAAAATACAGAGCTTGAATGTATAGTAATTATTTATTAATTGAAAAAAATTGTATTATCACATTTTAAAATAATTTATCATAAAAATTGGGAATTATTTAGGGTGATAGTTATCACAAATAATTAGCGGCGAGAAATTATTTTCTTCGCTTTAAAATATTTTTAATTGACCGCTTTATATTCAACTAAAGATAATGATCAATGAAAATGATTTCATTATGATTATAATATTATTATATGTAATTAAATAGTTTTTCCGCCGTAAGTAATTGTTAGTGGAGGAAGAAAAAAAAGAAGAATAGTATATATTCATTTCCGAGCTGGTAAATGTTCACATGGCAGTAATTTGTCGGTGGTTTTAGAACTAGAATTTTGAAAACACAGTAGACAAAAAAAGATTAATTTATAATTTTATAACGGTGTTTAATTGGGCAAATGGATCTAGTGATAAAGGAAGAATATAAAAAAGGGTCACAAAATGAAAAAAAGTTGAGCAACATAAAACAAATAATTGGATGGTATTTCCTGAATTAAACTGAGCGCGGAAATATAATAAACGGGCCAATCTTTATACAATTCAACTGATATCTTATATATATATATATATATATATATATATATATATATATATATATATATACGCTACGAATGAGCTTAAAAAATTTTTTACAAAGGGCTGACCGGCCAATTAGCATCTAAAGGACTCTCGATAGAATTATACCGGTTCAACGACTATAAGGTGGTTGAATACTTTACAAGGGAATAGAAGAGTACTTTAAGAAAATAATTTGTTGATTTTCCTTTTTACAGAATACTAACTCAAAAGCTGAGAGTATATAACTTTTTATGTATTTACTTATTCGTCCAGAAAAGTATAAGCTTTTTGTACTTGAAATTTGAATAAATCATATTGAAAGAACAACAATATCTCTGGAGTTCATTGAAATCGAGTAGTTGAAAAGTTTTTTTAGTAAGCACCTTCTTTATTTACGGTATATCGAATCGAGTGAGTAGAGTCTGTTGATATTGCAGAAAAAGCTCTTCGGA